ATTGAATAGACAATCCAGAGCTATTGATGAAAAATTGGTTACTTCTCCAGATAATAGTCAATCAGTACTTAGTAATAATAATGAAGAAGAAAAAGTGTAATATAGTAAAATATTATTTCAAACAAACTAAAATTTGCCGACACCAGGGATCGAACCAGGGACCTTAAGATCTTCAAGATTCAATGGCTTATTAGACCAACGCTCTCCCAACTGAGCTATGTCGGCTTCTTGAAATTTAAGATATTTAATAAGCAATATACTAAGCATCGTTATATGTCTTTGCTTACTAATTCAACATTTCTCTTTCATAGTCTTCCTTCATTCTTTTAAAGTAGTGTCATTGAGTTCTAAGCTGTCACGTTCCTCACTTATGTAACACTATGAAATGATTGTAACCTTGGAACTTTAAGTTCCCAATGCAATTTGAAATTAAAATTTACTAATTGTCAGCACTAAACGTTCTCAACCAATCAAAAAAAATGGCCAAACGTAAAATAAGTCTGCCCAACGAAATTTTGATTGAAATTTTTCAATTTTTAGAATCATCATTTGTTGTTAACAGTTGTATGCTCATTTCCAAGAAGTGGTACAAAATCATTTTTAACCAAGTAAAGACACTTTCTTGTGAATTGACATTTCATGACCAGGAGAAGATCGATCGCCTTGTGAAAAGTCCATGGCTACATAATATTTCAAAGATTAAATTAAGAGCTTGTGATGACTATTTGGAATCAATCAAGGGATTGATGGAAATATTGAAAAGTTACGATCAATTACGTAGTGTTGATATTGGTTATTGTTATATTGGAAATAGTCAAACAATTAGTGAAATGAAACAGTTAACATCACTTGATATTGATAATAATTGTGTGGACGAGCAAGGAGTAAAATTAATTGGTGAATTGCATAATTTGACAAGACTGAACATTGGTTGTAATAGAATTGGCTTGGAAGGTTTCAAATCAATTAGTGGAATGAAACAGATGAGAGATCTTAATGTCAGTAGTAGTGGTGCTGGAGTAGAAGGAGCTAAATTAATGAGTCAATTGAAACATTTAACAAAGTTTAATATTAGTGGAAATGAAATTGGTGAAGAAGGTGCTAAATCGATTGGTGAATTGAAATGGTTAACAATGCTTGACATTTGTAGTAATCAAATTGGTGCAGAAGGTGCCAAGTCAATTAGTCAATTGGAACGTTTAACAAAGCTATATATTAGTGGTAATGGAATTGGACCAGAAGGAGCTCAATCGATTAGTCAATTGAGTCATTTAACGACACTGTTTATTGGTGGTAATCAAATCGGTTCAAAAGGATCCAAATCAATTAGTCAACTGAAACGGTTAACAATTCTGTATATTGATTCTAATGAAATTGGTTCTGAAGGAGCAAATTCAATTAGTCAATTGTCAAATTTAAAAGAGCTTTATATTAGTGACAATCAAATTGGTGACGAAGGAGCCAAATCAATTAGTCAATTGAAACATTTAACAACACTTGAAATTCTTCGTAATGAAATTGGTGATCAAGGAGCCAAATCAATTAGTCAACTGAAACAATTAACAAGACTCCATATAAGTTGCAATCGAATTGGAGATCAAGGAGCAAAATTACTTAATCGAATGAAAATTAATTCTCTAATAAATTAACAAAAAAGCATTGGGAAATAAATTCAAACCAAATTTTGATAATAATAAAATATCAAAGTGACAATTAGAAATTAATGTCAAAACACCTCACTAATTTTGGACGAATTCAAACACATCTATACAAATATATTTTCAAATTATATTATAATTTGATCAAACACATTGGTAATTGTGCATTTCAATAATTTCTCAATAACACTATCAATTTAATATGTGTGGAATAGTTTCAAGTGACTTGTCAATAGACCGAAGAGGAATGGAGGAACTGTATTTTCACATCACAAATAATGCAAAGAAAACAACCCAACTTTAAAAAAGGTAGTATGTTCTCCCTTTGTTTCCAAATAATAATAATGATTCAATCGGAATCTTAACAACAAGTATTAACGAGGAACCTCTTTTATTACAACAAGAAAAAAAAATGGACGACGGAATTGATTCAACAAGAGAAGTGCAAGTCTTGAAGGAAGTAGGCTTGAATGCGGATCAAATTTTCCAACTCTTGATGGAGAAGGAAAAGACAAGGCAAATAGAATTGGAAATTGTACTCGTGGAAAAGAAGAGAAAATTCTCTGATAACACTACTTCGGATGATGGAGTATTAACAGAATGGAAAAAGAAAAAACTAAATGAATTATCATCAAGAGCTTTATGTGGGGATGTTTGGATTAATATTTTGGAATTTCTTCCAGGCGTTGAAGGGTTTCGTATGGTGATGCTTTCTAAACAAGTAATGAGAGCAACAAAACACTTAACTAGAATTGAATTTGACAAACGTGTTAAATCGAGTAGATTAGAAGACTTTATATGTTCTTCACAGTTTAAGCATATTCAAACCTTGAACATTAACTATACTATTACACAGCCAATGTTTAATATCTTGATAAGGAATTGTGAAAATCTCAAAACATTGACAGTTGTAGTACCTGATGGTTTTGTTCTTGGCATCCCTAATTCAAACTGTAGTGTGAAAAATTTACGAACTTTACAACTTTCAACGGAATCACTCAACAAAGCCTATTTAGAATCGCTCAACTCTTATTTGTTCAACCTCGAAGATTTAAAGTTACCATCATTTAAATCAAAACTTGCTTCTGACTTTCTTAACACCTGCACTAAAAATATTCGAGTATTAGAAATTGATAAGGTTAATTTCGACTTGGACCCAAAGGACTATCTGCCCAATTTGAAATCTCTGAAAATTCGACGCTTGATATGTAATATGAAGATCTTTCTTTCATTTTTTGAAATCAAGACTTTAACTTCACTAAATATGTCCCTTGACAGTTTAAATAATGATGAAGGGTTTACAGAAACAAATACTATAATTGAATCCAAGTTGGAATACTTGAAGTTGAATATCACTGGCATGCTTACTGATATAATTTGTAAATATCAATTTCCCAATCTTGAGTGCCTTTCACTCACTCCTGAATTAACGATGAATTCTGCAACTTCTTTAGGGACCAACTCCAGCTTAGCGAATTTAAAAACGTTGGAACTTTTCGAAACTAGCATTGATGAATTGAAAGCGTTATGTAGCTCTATTTATCTTAAGAAGTTAACATCTCTTACTGTAGATTACGAAGATATTCGTGATATCGTTTGTGGTCTAGATTATATAACACAATCAGAATCGTTTTCCAATCTATATAACTTGCAATTTTTTGGAAATAATGTAAATTTGGATTTATTTTCCTCCGTTTCTAAATTTTCCAAACTCAGATTATTATACCTATATGATCCCGATATTAATTCACTTATTAATTTATCCAAATCCACACATTTTCCACATTTAAGAAAATTAAGGATCTACCTTAGCGAAATTGTTCCAACCAATTTCCTTGAAAATATTGCTAATAATGAATCATTTCGTAAATTGTTCTATTTAGGCATATGTCTTAATGATGAACAAGTTCCAATACTAGTTAATGCCAAATATTTCAAATTGAAAAACTTGACAATTTATGGCAAATATGTTACCAATGTAGGAGCTAAAATATTACAGGACCACAACATTAACTTTGAATTTGACGAATAAACCAGAACTTTACAATAGATCTGCTTACAACACCAATGTTTAAAAAAAATGGGAACCAAACCATCACGTACCTCCAAATCAGACGCCACTTCGGATGTCATGTTAATACAAAACAATAATAATATTCAACAGGCTTCAACTCGAAAAAGAGAAAAAGTTCTAATACTTGGTCCCTCCGATTCTGGTAAATCCACACTATTCCACATGTTGAAACTAATAACTTCGGGACATGACGTTGATGCAAAATTTGAAAATAATTTGCGAATTGTCAGCTCGTGGGTTATTGAGAGAATTTGGGAAGCGATGGGAGAGCAAGAGCGTAATCACTTGAAAGATCTCATCCCTGAACTGAGATCAGTATTCGAAAATACAGAAGATGCTAATTTAGCTACTGAATTGCAGAACAGAGATGATTGTTGCGAAATACTGGTCACTCTTTGGAAAATTCCATTCTTTAGAGAGTTCTACGAATCGGTGTGGAGCAGAGATGGAATTTCAATGTTCGAAAATGTCAAGGAATTAGTCTCAAGAATTGAACACAAAAAAAGCTTTTCTCCATATTCATTGGTACATTGCAGAACAACAGGAATATTATCATACGAAACGATGGGAAAAAACACTGAAATTGAAGTGATCGATGTTGGAGGAAGGAGAAATGAAAGAAAGAAATGGATTCATTGCTTTGAGGATACACATACATTAATTTACATGGTTTCTCTTTCAGAATTTAATCAAACTTTAATAGAAGATAACAGTACTCGTAGAATGGATGAATCTCTATCCCTAATTAGTGAAGTAATGAATTCCAGATGGTTCGTTGGTCTGCGTAAAATAATTCTCTTTGTAAAACCGGATATTCTATGCAAAAAATTGGAAAATGGAGTGAAATATGGTGGAGAACTCAATCCTAATATTTTACCAGAGCTAGACAGAATTGCTGACCATTATCTTAAACTAGTTATCAACTCGATCATTACAGAATTCTTCAAGAAAATCGATAGAACTACGATTGATTCCTATCATATTGTTAATAATACCTCAGAAGATGATATCAAATCCGTTTGTGAAATGATCTTTGGAGAGAGATCAGCTCAAAAAACAACCTTCATCTCACCCTGTATCATACCTGCCAACAATCGAATGATACTATGCCTCTTCAACATTTGTCTGCAAGAAAAATTGACAGATATTCAAATCATTACTTCCAACGAAGAAGAAAATTACTACTAATTCACATTGATCAGCATTTAATTCATACCATCATTGTACCAATAATATTCAAAACTATTCACTTCACAATAATTATTCCACACTTTCATCATTTCAACAAGTTTTTTATTTTCAATTCAACAAAAAAATTTACATCACCAAAAACACAATAAAATGGTCAATAACAAGAAGAATAACAAGAAAACATCAGCCATTGCTTCCGAAGTTGCTGGATCATCATCAAAACCATCATCAAAGAAGACCACCACAACAGCTCCTCCAGCAGCTCCTGTTGCTACAGAAGTAGTAGTTGAAAAAGTAGAAAAAGCCACACCAACAACAACAACAATAGAAAAGAAGCAAACAAAGAAGGCAACAACAACTAAAACAACACAAGAAAAGAAGAATCCTGATGTTGCTGCTGATAAGAAGAGAAAATTGGATCAAGTTGTTGAAGAACCAGCTAAAAAGAAGGAAGAAACAAAGTCTTCTGCAGTAGTTGTTGAAAAATCATCAAAGAAACAAAAGAAAGAAACAAAGCCAGCAGTTGTTGTTGAAGAACCAAAGGAAGAAGAAGAAACTGAAGTTGTTGTTGAAGATGAAAAGGAAGAAAAGAAAAAGAACAAACGTAAGGAAGCCAAAACTGATATTGAAGTCACACTGAGAAAGGAAGATATTACAATGAGTGAAGAGGAATTTAAAAAGTGTTTCCATGATGCTGTGAAAATATATAGAGGATCCAAACGATGTGTTATTGTGCATTTGAGAGATTCCGCTCAATTGGAAAAGTATTTGAGCAAGGAAGGTGAGGATGGTTCATTAATTCCATTGAATAAGAATTTTGTTGAAGTTGGAGGAAAGATTTTTGAAGTTAAGAGAGCTAAGGTGAAGGATGTTAAGAGAATTGCTAAAAAGAAGGCTGCTTGGGATAGTTTTAAATAAACTACTAGGTTATTAACTTGTTGATTTGAATTATCTCTCTTAGCTCAATCTCATGCTGTACACTTTTGTGGAGCTAACTTGTGGTAGATTGTAACATTTGACAAGTCAAGGAATAATGAACTCTGTCCAAATATTGTAAAAGAAAAATGGGTTTTTGCCTTTTAAAAACAAGTAAAAAAAATGAAAATACATCTCTTGAGTGATTTGCACATTGAACACTTCCCAGACTTGGCCCAATTCCAAGACATGTACAAGGAACGATACGGAAATGAACTTTTGGAAAATAACAATCAAGCAAATGTTCTGGTTCTTGCTGGTGATATCGGAAATGTTAAAAAGGTAGGCTATCAGCAATTCCTAGTCAAAGCCTCTGCGCTCTATGAACACGTCATTATTGTGGGAGGAAATCATGAATTTTATGGGAATGAATATTTCGAATGTATGGCCAAGATGAAGGAGATTTGTAAGGAGGTTGGTGAGAATGTTCACTTTCTGGATAAATCAAAGGTGGAAATTGTGGATTCTGAGACGAAGGAGGTATATGTTTTTGTAGGAGCTATTTTATGGTCGAATATTCCAGAAGAATCTCAACTCTATGTGGAATCTGTAGGTTTTTTCGAATGAAATATTTATTTTGGAATGTCATTAATTTGAAATAATTTTTAATAGGCAATGAATGATTATCGATTGATTAAAATTAAGGAAAGTGGAGCCGATTCTGCAACCTTGTTGAGGACTAAACATACTGTTCAAATGTTCAAGGAAGAATCAGAATATATCAAACAAGAAATTGAAAAGGCAAAAATTAATCAACAAAAGGTAATTGTTGTTTCACACAATGCACCTTTGAATAGAGGAGTGAGTGCTCCACAATTCGAAACTGTAGATAATGGTTCAACAAGGAGTTTAAATTATGCCTTTGCTACTGACCTGAGCTCAATCATGGATGATCACGTAATTGCTTGGCTATTTGGCCATACTCACTATAGCTCTCTTCAAAAGTTCAATAATACCATTGTTGCTAGTAATCAATTGGGATATTTGAGAGGATTTTCAAAAGAGGAGAATAGTTACAAAGTAGATTGGATTCTCGATACCAATAACTTGAATCTTGCATCAATCCCAAAGTTTGTTCCCTATCCACCAAAATCACAAACTCAAACTACCAACGCTTCTGGAGCTTCTTCATCTGAAACCGTAAATAGCAATTCATCATCCAATCCTTCTAAATTTTCTAATATTTTGAGTTTCTTTAAGAAATAAGAAACATTGTAATATATTGTACAGTTATTATTTAAAAAGTAGTTTCGTGGAATTGTTTTAATTTCTTATTGAGAGGTCTATAAATCTCTTCAACAACAGAAATTTTTGGAGCAAAGCTTGCTGAGGTTGAGTAAATCTCCCAAAGGAAACCCTTCTTTACCAATACTTGTGGAGGAGGAAAGCTCAATGACATTGCTTTCAAAAAGTTGAGAACCATGGTTGGAGTTTTCAAACAGCGTTCCCAAGAAACTTGTTTCGATCATAGTAGGGAATTTCATTGGGTGAGGAGTTCTTTCCGGTAGTCGGCTCGAAATAAGTGTTCTGCCATTTTTTTAAAAGATTTTGGCGCCAAATTTGTGTTCATTTGATTAAGGTAAAGTGTAACTGTGTTGTAAAGTTATTCGAAATGTTATTGGAAAGTGAAAAAAGTACCTTATCCTTTTTCACAGTAGTGAATTTAAAATGCTTTTCACTAACGGCGAAATTGTCCATGATTGCTAACTCTAATCCAAATACAACGATTAAATCATTGTTGTTTAGGCAACTTTCGTTTTATCATGCTCCAAATAAAATTTTTTCATTTCATTCAGGTTCATCCACAAATTCCTTTCCAAGACCCATTATTTTAAAAATGGACAAGGCATCATATCAATAATTCGTTTAGAATAGATGAACACTGAAAATCTAATAACATACAAAAAAAAATGGCCAAATCACCCTATCCACCAATTCCACTCTTTAATCTTACCGAAGCCTTTGTGATAAACTCAACAAATCATCTCTATGTTCCATTCGAATCTACCACTTTATCCATTGTAGACACTGTCATCATGTCAATATTCATTTTAGCTCATATCGTTGCCATCATTTTGGCGTTTACCTTTCTCAGAGTTGGATACTTGATGAAAAAACAAAAAGAAGAAGTGCAAGTAGTATTGAAGAATGTTCAATCGACAAAGGAACAATTTTCACCAAATCGACAATCAACGAAACATGTTTCACATTCGACAGCAAATATTGGAACACCGACTGTGAATCATCAGGAGAGTAGTGATGTTTTGGGAAATGGTAGTACTACTACTGTTGAATTATTGGAAGTGAATAATGTTAGTGGTATAAGCCTGTCACCTGCCGTGAATGGTAATCATTTGGATAGTGGAAGTTTGCAAATTAATAGAAATAATAGAACAATGTCGAATTCTAGTGATGTGCAGAATTCATCAACTTCATTCTCTACTACACCTGGATCTGTTTTGTTGAATGTTGGTGAAGAAGTTCATAATAAGGATAATGTTTCAGTTTCGTCCAATACAAAAATAAGACATTCCACCAGATTGGCAGTAAGCCAACATGCAAATCATCATCAAATGGATAGCGATGGAATGTCAAAGAATCAGAGGATTTTATTCATTCTTTTACTCTTCTTACTCTTCTTTCAAATGACAAGTTTACTTTTATTGATTATTCACCATGCATTGAATTTCAGTGGACACGCTATGATTGATGATTATATTTTAAAAAGGAATAATGATATTGCTTCGGGAATCATTAGTGAATCATCTCCTATTGAGCTGGTTCCTAGTAGGGAGTTTAGAATTGCAGACAGATTTGTTGGAATGTTTCAGGCGATTGTTGGAGCTTCATGTTATTTGATTATCCTGTACATTTTATGTTTTATTGAAACAGTTTTGTAAGTCATTTGAATTCTAAAGATTGTTCTAAAATAACACATCCAAAATTAAAGCATCCAGACGGTTCAGAAAACTGGAACCATGTCAAAGAAGACTGCAAAGATTATTACCACTATTTCTGTAATTGTTACCATTATTACAACCTCTTTAATCTTTGTGAGTATTGTATCCTCCTGTGTCATGATTCTCCTCGTAAAATCAGGAGTTATTACGGATGATGAGCTTTCTGCCAGTTTACCAGGAGCTGCCTTATTCATTTTCCAAGTTGTCTTTCACAACGTCATTTTCAACGTTGTTGGATTTAAGGTACTGAGAACGATTCGTCAATATTCTTCCAAGCTCAACAGACAATCCAGTGAACGACCATTCTATAGAGTTATTATTTTACAGATAGGATTGACCATTTTTACAATCATTCACTTGTTGGGAGCTGTTTGCTTGGCTCTGTATCCTTCATGGGAATTTTTCGATGCAATTTCATTTGCATTTTCTTCAATCGCAATTCTAGGATATACCACAATAATATTCTTCCTCTATAGACCATTATTTAAGGATGCTAGAATTCAAGCTAGGGAAATGAAGAAACTCATATCAGAAACTCAACATGACTAATGTCAAGAAGTGTATTCTTGATACTATAATATTAAATCTTTTAATATTCATTTAGGAAATTGTAAAACTCAACAACGAAATTATTCAAAAAAAAATCAAACACTTGAGAAATGACATCTTTTAATGATGTGGAGGATCAAGTTGTCATTTATTTAGATCATCAAAAAGATGGGAAAATTATCTACTCGGAAACAAATTCTCTTCTCAAGACGAAACTCTTAGCGGAATTAGTACAAAAACGAAACCATATTCAAGATTTGAAGGAATGTGTAAATTCTGGAGATAACAGTGTGAGAATGATCCTCCTTTCTCACTTTCCGATAATTGATAATCATGATCAAACCTACTTGTTGAATATTTTGGAGACTTTTAAGGAAGCATTTAAATTTGTTCCACAATCATTGAAGAATGATCGAAATTTTGTTCTGAAATGTTTGGAGGTGAATGGAGAATTATTTAAAGAGTATGAAATACTCGCGAATTATGTTTATACAGACGAGAGAACAGGGTTTTCATTTATTCGAAAAGCTTTTCAATTAGAAAGTGTCGTGAAACAGTTGGATCCAAAGACAATTCTAAGTTTACCCTATAGTCCTTTACAGTATATCATTTCGAATAGAGAATTTTTTATGAAAGCAGTTTCAATCAATCCAACTATATTTTCATGTGCCTGTAGAACACTAAAGGCAGATGATGAGCTACTATTTGAAGCAGTGAAATATAATAGACAACATTTGAAATTTGCCTCTCTTAAACAGTTGGAAAATAGAAATTTAATATTTAGAGCTTGTGAAACCAAGGAAAGTAGTAAAATTGGATATTGGAGTTCAGTTTTGACGATTGCTTTGCCATTAGCCAAGTATAATCCAGAATTAGCTTTGGAAATAGTGGAGAAAGACCATGAATCTGTTGCATGTGCAATCAAACATTTCAAAAATCACGAGAAAATAATAATGAAAGTAATTGAGATAGCTCCATACTTGATATTCAAAGTTATCAAAAGGCAAGAATGGTTTCCAAATATGAAAGAAATTTGTCTATTAGCCCTAAAGAAAGATCCATTGATCTACAAATACCTGGGGAGATTTAGATATGATAGGGACATTTTCAAGTTTGCTAGTGATTGTGGTCATATATCTATATCATACTTATATCTGTCACCTGAAATGCTAGGTGATAAGGTTTTCGCTGTTGGACTTGTAAGAAGTGTAAGTCCATTGTATTTTGAGAGACTTGATGAGAATCTGAAAAGGGATCGTGATGTAATCCTAGCTCTTGCTGCACATTTACAAGTACTACAGCAAGAATTTAAAGAGAAGTATTTACCAAATTTAGAGAATGACAAAGAATTTTTATTAGAAGCAGTGAGAAGGAAGAGAAACGGCTTCTCTATTCTTTCATTCGCCTCAGATGAGTTGAAACAAGATAGAGAACTAATTCTTTCTGACATTAGAAAATGCAACAATTTGAATCTAGTTCCTATCCATCTCAGATCAGATCGAGAAATAGTAGAAACTTTTATTAAGAATGTAAATTTATTTCTTTTTGATCCATCAAGTTTTCCTGATAGTCTATTGGAGGATAGTGAGTTTGTTTGGAGAATGATAGATTTGCGTCCTAATTTGATAAAAAAGTTTCCAAATCATGAATTTTTCAAAGAAAAGAAAATAATTCTCAAAATGATTTCTAAAAATATTCTCTGTAATGAAATTATTTCAAATGAACTTAGAGAGGACAGGGATATTAAATTGGCATTGATAAAAATAGGGAATTATCCATTCAAGGAATGAAAGTAAAAGCTCAAAAACAAATGAAAGTGTGAATTTTTTTAATTGAAAAAAATGAGGTTAAACCTGTGGTTATTTTCTCCATCGATATAATATATGAAAAGGAGATATTTGAACCGCTGATAGTTTTACCTGCCTAGTTTGTGTGGTTAAAATTTGAAAGACCAAGGCTTTCCAAAAGGGTTAAAATTGATATCTTTCTGATGCGTCGACCGGGAATTGAACCCGGGTCACGGCGATGGCAACGCCGTATTCTACCACTAAACCATCGACGCTTCACATTCACTTAATACTGTTCCTTAATTCCTAACTAAGGAATTGTGGGTTAAGCAGTCTCATAAAATGTTTGCGGTTAGGAACTGCCTCAAAAAATGTCTCCACATCATCTATTAATTCTGCTCTTGCTCATTTTCTTGCTGGTTGGCATTCAAATCCAACACACAAACCAGCAGGAAATTAAATTTATCAGAAAATCATCACTGATACATCAGGAAATATCATCAGATCAATGGCAACTATCTATAGATGATGATCAAGCCTATTTAATGGAAGAAACAGATTGGACACTCTCCGATCACTATTTTACACATTGTTGGAATACCACTCGATTGATGAGAGATGATTTGTATTATGATAGGATGTTTACGATGGGAGAGGAGATTCCATCTTCATTCGGATGTACTTCTATTCGATTACCAACTGTTTATGAATATTATCCATATAATAGGAAATCAATTTATAATTCAGAATTGAGAAATATTGGATTGGAGGATGAGGCATTATGTTCGAGAGTTGCTGATTGGGAAAGAAATTTAAATGTGAGCTGTCAGACATTATTGTGTGAAATGGATGGGAAAAGTGAAGGATATTCAGATTTGAATGCAATGATTAGACAAAGAACTGATTCAAAGACTAGAATTGAAGATTGGGTTAATTATTGTCAATATTGTAAAGTGGATAATTTGAGGAAATATAGGGAAGAAAAGAAATGTAATCCCAAAGATGAAACTGCCAATTTTTTAATTAGAAAGTTTCCAAACTCTGCATTCTTTTGTGGATTTCACCAATTTGGAATACCCTTCATTATTAATACGTCGAGAATTGTTGATTTATCAGTGCCTCTGGAACATACTGATTTTTCATTCATTTGCTATTGTAGAGAGAGTCAGGCCTTTCACTTTAAATGTCCAGATGTGACAACTGAATTTGAGTTGAAAACTGAATATTTTGCATTTTTACTCACAATATTTAACAGTGTTTCGATAATATCTACGTTAGTATTACCAAAAGGATTTTCAATGATTAAGGATCGCAAAATTAATTGGAACATGTTGACAGCTATTTTCATGCTAAGTGCACAATGTGTATTTGCAGGATTTTACTTGTACAAGATCATTTCTGAGGAGCAATATTCAAAGGGAATTGTTTTTTTTGAGTGTGGATTTGGTTTGGCAAATTTTGCCCTTATTTCATGGCTAATTGAATTTCACAAATTTATTCATTATGTGAGAACGAAAGTAATCTATAAGAAATCTCTGATAATATTGCGATTGGTGATATTTACAAGTTTATCTCTCATTATATTGTTACCAACACTTCTCATTGCTAACTTGGTTCAATTTAAAAAGAGAAAGATTACATTTATATTCCTCCAATTTTATTTTGGTTCATTTGAAATTGTAACATTGATTTCCTTAATAGTGGGATCAATAATTATTTACAGAGCTATGAAGCAAATTTCAGATATCGATATTTGGAAAACAAAAGTAAGTTTCAACACAAGGATAACTTGTTATATCAACACTATTCCAACAGTTCTTAAAGTTTACATTACTCGCTGGTCTACTTTTATTGCTGATAACAATTTGTAATTTTGTGGTAGGAAGTTTATATTTCATTCGTAGCGATATTGACTTATTTTGGTGGAATCTCAAATTCTTTGCCAACCAGGGGCTGTTCATTGCACTTACGTGGATAGAGTACGATAAACTAGAGTTTAATCAATGTTACAGTTGTCAAAAATTAGTAAAGAAGGAAAAGTCAGATCTGGAAGTTGATTTGAGTTCAGATTACGTACAGGTTAAAGAATAGAGTTGATTATAAATTTGATAATATATTTATATTTATTACAGATATTGTTCTAATCAACAATGGTATTCTTGACTTGTTGTCAAGATTCTAATCATAATGAGCTTATCAATACTCGCCACACTTGGAAATGGATACAATTATTCTTGAACCTCAATTGTGATTGAGTTTGAATCCACAGCAGTTGGATCAGTGGTTGGCTTCTTTTTGTCTCCTTCTGCCAAGCATGGAACTCCATTTAACTCTTTTATCGATTGCTTGAATTTAGTCCAATTATTTTCGCAATACACTAAACAATCCAAAACTCTATCATTGTGGAAAATGTCAATAAAGTGAGAAATCATAAGTTCACAAACAGAACTGAGGGCAGGTAAGTGTTGAGCCAAGAATTGTTGCTTTGAAACGTTGAGTGAACTTGGTGGATAGGCAAAGACAGGACCAAAAACAATAGCCAAATTGGTTTCCTTCATCATGTTAATGTGACTGAATCTGGTAATTCTGTGCAACAAGCAACACATACATTGCAAAAGGAAGTAGTTATGTTCTGGAAGTTTGTGCATAATTTCTCTGAGGTGATCAATCTTTTCATTCTTATCTGAAATTTTATCCAATTGAAGTACCGATGAGTAGAGAGCGTGTGGAATTGGTGGTTCTGGCAATTCTCTCAAAAACAGTTTTAATAAACCTCCAATTGTATGTTCATCTTCTCCTTCAGAAAATTGAATATCTTGATCTGGATTTTGATCGAATTGAATTTCATAAGCTCTCATACGATTCTTGTTACCAGGAACACGGAATAAACCTTCAGTTGTCAAATTATTTTGATAAAGTCTAGAAATACACTTGTAACAAATATCAGGTAAAACTCTTTCTGGATGTCTAGCATGTAAATCAACAAGTGGAACACCAAATGTGACTTTTCCTTGAGTTGACAAATCATAACGACATTCAACTCTCATATGAATTTTACCAGATGATTTTTCACCAACAACAACTGGACGAAGAGGGAACCAATCTTCCTTATCTGCTCCAGCTCTAGCACTTTCAATTTTAACAACAACTTGTCCCATAATATCATCAGAGTGGAATCTATCCTTATCAAACATGATCACATGCAAATCACAAGGTAATCTAGAAATTTCAAATTGGAATTCTTCACGCCATTTTGGCTCCAAAGTATTTTGTTCAACTTTTGTATGTTCAACTTTGTGTTCCATATTTAAAACAAGATAAGGATCTGCCAATCCTCCCATCAATGCAGTATCATGTTTTTCCAAATCCTTTGCCTCTCTAATTTTAACATAAACCTTAGCTTTCATTTGGAAAACTGTTGGTGCAGCCACTCTAATATCATCAGGAACCAATTTTCCAACAGTACTATGAGGAGCATCAGGATTATTACTCGAATCACTACTACTACCCGATTGTTGTTGTTGTTGATCCTCATTCCTAACATTCTTCTTACTAGTTGTTTTTTTCAAAATTGTCTCTCTAGCTTGTTCCATTGCTTGTTTCAAGGCTCGCAACCACAAATCCTTTTCATCCCAACTCTGGAATACAATCACATAGTGCGAAATATCAGACTCGAGGGTGATTTGATATTTTTTCTCATCATTCTTCGACTCGTCGATGAACTTGAGCCGAGGCTCTGTGGTGAGAATGTAGGCTTTGGCTTGTGTAGCCTCGACGCGGTGCGGATCAAAGAAAAAGATTCCCTGCGTTGTGACAATGACCCAATTGATACGCCATGAAGGACGGAGGAGGTTTCTACCTTGGCTCTTGATGGTTTTTCTGTAGAGATAGCCTTGACGAACGGGTATGTCAATGTTATATCTTTGTTTCAAGAAGGCAATAAAATTGGTAGTGTTTTGTTGTGTATTTGATGATGATGGTGGTAGTGTTTTGTTGTTGTTGTGTATTTGATGAAGTTTTTGGAAGCGGGAGAAAGTTTTTAATTGTTTTTAATTAAATTAAAATAATTCGTGATGATGATGTGAAAGATGTTGGAATGATTTATGTTATTTGGGATGTGTTGTGGAATTTTAATGATGATGATGAGTAACGAGGAGAGAAATTAATTTTCGGTTAATGATGAAATAATTTAGTTTCTCACAAATATTTCGAATATACATACCTCCCAAATTCCTCTAAATCTTTAGAACTGCTAATCATTTGTTTTTTATCAGTTAGTTTAATAAATAATGTTTCTTTCTACTGTTTCAACGTTAAAAGTGTGTGTAAGTAAAAAAGTGGTATGGGTGCTCCAAACTTTTGGTAGAAGAAACTTGTCAATTTTTTTTAGGGTGTCAAGTGTCAATCCCTTTAATGTCAAGCAAAGTGTTCATTCTTCATTGATAAGAAGACCTTTCATACAAAACAAATCTCAAATATCAAAATATGTAAATGTTCTGTCCCACTATTTCAAACTACAGAATCATGTTGACCTTTTTTACAATTTGATTTTCAACCACTTTCAAAATCAAGGAGCTATCAACTCCCAATTCCTTCTCAAAGGTTCTATTTTCCTTTCCTAATTACCTTATCTCGACAATCTCTTCCTCATAAAACAAGCAGCTTCTGGCAAGAATATCGAGTTTTCTTCCTCATTTCTCAGTTCATCACTTTAACGTGTTGCTGTAATGGGTTGGAAAATTTAATAATAGCACAAAATTGAAAAAAATCGGCAAAATTCTCTCTACCTCTTTCTTGGAAGCAGATTGAAACTCTTTAGAATTCTCTACTCGAGCAACTTAAAATTGATTGTGTGGTTAATTTTGGTTCATTAGAACGTGATTGGAAACAAAAAAAACAAACCTTGTAAATATAAATAACAACAACTAACTAGATTTTGAAAATGGTGTGGGGATTAGGATGGCTTTTGGGAAATGGTAAGTTTTCTAATTGTTGTATTGTTCCGATGATGAACGTTAATTGATTTTATATTTGATGATACTATATACAACATTATATAATACTATTTATATTATTAAATATTAAATAATTTGCACGTGTAGGAAAGGAAAAGAAGGAAGTGAAGGCAGATACTCACGAACCAGAACACAATAAGAGTATTAATAATATTCATGAAACTATCGGAACACTGGAAAAGAGAGAAATGGCACTTTTAAAAAAGAGTGAGGAAGAAGAAGCAAAGGCTAGAAAATTCCTCCAAGAAAATAATAGAACGGCAGCTGCTAATTGTATCAAGAAAAAGAAACAATATCAAACTCAAATTCAACGATTACAAGGACAAAAACAAAATTTAGAAACAACTTTACTGACCCTTGAAGATTCTGTGACAAATGTAGAGACACTCAAGGCTCAAAAGCAAGCCTCAGATGCAATTAAGAAAGTTTATAATGGTATGAAGACAGAAGATATTGAGGATATTATGGATGATATTAGAGATACGTAAGTATAATTTGAATCTTTTTATACGAATTGTTTAATAGTATGGATGATGTGAATCAAATTGGAGATGCTCTAGCTCAAAATGTAGGTCCTGTATTTGATGAAGGAGAATTATTAGACGAATTGGAACAATTAGAAAGTGATGCTCACGAGGAAGAAATGGCCAAGATTAAATTACCAAAAGAAAAGGTTACCAAAGACAAGGATACTACACTGCCTGTTGCATCCAAGAAACAAGTTGATCCTGAAGAGGCTGAACTGGAAAAGGAATTGGAAGCACTTATGAATTGATTGTAAATACTAAATTCTCATTTATCATTATTGAATTCTTATTCATTTCCATTTTACAAAGCAATCAACAATCTTTCAAAAAAATGGGACAATCACAGGCAAAGTCTCCCACACCCGAAATTCAATGCTACTATCCAAAACAATATTTAGTTGGTGGAGGTCTTTACGTTGGAAAATCTACATTTTGTCGTGGAGTGCTAAGAATGTTTCCAAACTGGAACAAACCTTTCGAATATTCTGATGAGGATTTTGAGAAGGATCTACAACAGATTTCTTGTTTAATTCTCATTAGACTTTATTTTATGGTAGATGATGATCATCAATATGAGGAATACGAAACGCTGAGACAAGCTATCGGAAATGAACTCAACCTTTCGCGTCATTTTGATTATGGCCAGGTTACTCATATCATCAATTCAACACCAAATTGCAAACTAATTTTATTGAAAATGTGGAAAGAATTTGAACTGAGACAATTCTATGAATCATATTGGATGGACGAAAGAGATTTTAAATTGGGAGAAAATCTGCATCAATTAATTGAAACTATTGAATGTGGAAGGAAGGATTTTGATCCCAAATCGTTATTTCCTCCAAAAGCTAGAATCAAACATTGTTTCAATGAAAGATTCGTATTCTTTTATTTCTCAACATATGCCTCAAAGTGGATGTATCTCAATCCAGAAGCAATTATATGTTTTGTATCTTTGAGTGATTTCAATCAAACATCTTATGATTTCTATCCTCGATTTAATGAATCAAAATCTCAAGTAATGGAAGAATTGCGTAATAGACGATTTTTGAAATGCAAGAAAATTCTAATATTCACTAAACCAGATGTGCTGATTAGGAAATTGAAAGAAAGAATCAAATATAATAGAGAGATAGATCATGAAATTAGATCAGAGCTAAAAGTAATTGATCAAGAAAATGTTAAATTGGTTATCAACTCAATCGTTTGTGAATATTTCAAAACCTTATCAGATTATGGGGTAGAAATTGACTCATACCACATTATGAACGTGACATCAGATTCAGAAATAATCGAAGTGTGCAACAGGATGTTTCTAGAGAATTCCAACAAATCAACTTACATTTCGCCTTGCTTGTTACCGTTTAAATTTCCACCAGACAGACTTTTCAATTATCTCCAACAGGATTTGTTGACAGATGTGTTAATATCAACCTTTCAGTAATGAAATTGTTTGAATTTCTAATAATCAAGATTAAGTTTATTTTTGAATAATGAATCAATATCTAGCTTAGATGTGAAATCATTTCATGGATGGAAAATTTAATAAGTTGGATTTGTTTGGGAATGGAATTCAAATTTATCAAGAATGAAATATTTTTAGGAGCTTATTGGAAAGATAAGTTTAAAGTCTTGAATCAAATAGGGGATGAAGATCTTTCACACCAAATTTGAAAAGTGTTAATATCACTAACAACTTTACCATAACTGAGTTTAGAATAAGTATTGGACTTGAGGGAGATTATATTCCACAATTACCAATTCTCAATTCGAATCGATTTCCCAAAGATGATTTCAATTTATTTTAATCTCTCTTTGAACCAGAAGCCTTCTTAGTCAATTGGATCAACAACATGATAGCACCAAGAGCCATGAATGTAATTGGCAAATGCTTCTTTTCAACAACAGTGAATCTCCAAGCACCCAAACCAGCCAAAGCAATACTTGAAATGATGGAAACCAAACGAGCATTATCAACACTTCCAGTATAGAACAAGTAAGCAGCAAAGAGGAAAAGAAGAGCAATTGTTAAGCCACCTGCAAGACTGGCAACAGATCCCTTTGAAATTAAATCCATAATTGTATTATGATGAATAATAAAAACATTCAATTAATGGATTAAATACCATCATTTGATCATGAAACAATCGGGATGATCATCAAATCATTTAACAATCCAAATATCCAATTATTAGTATTATTGATCATCATTAATAATGTTCAATATATTAAAAAGCAGATTATCAAACCCTACCTTTTTAGCATAACCCATAAATCCACCACCTCCTAACAACAAGGCATAAACCAAATGCAAAATAACGTCCATATTGATAATGATGATCAAAGTTTTTGTTTTTTTTTAAAGTTTGTTCGGAATTCAGCGCTTATTTAGCGGACTAATGGAAGAATCAAATTTTTACTATTTTTCGAATATTCAACTTGTATTTAAATTGGTAATTAATTAAAATTAATACTAAATATCAATAGATTTTACAAAAATATTAGAATTACATTAAGATTTTTTTTAATTTTTAATAAAAATATAAAAGTTGATCAAATTATTGACTTAATCAGTATTGCTTGAAATATCCTTCATGAAAATACTCTTAAATTCTTCAAAATCAACAACACCATTTCCATCCCTATTAATTTTCCATTTAAAAAACAAAATATTATTAGAAACTTGACGAAATAAATTCGAAACCTACCTATCAGCTTGTCTAATCATTTCATTCAACTCCTTATCAGTTAAAGTTTCACCCAAACTGCTCATCATGGATTTTAATTCTTCATATGAAATAAAACCATCATTATTCTTATCAAAAACTCTGAAAGCTTCACGAATTTCGTCTTCTGTATCAACATTGTTTCTTCCACCTTCCATCATCTTCATAAATTCTTCAAATTCGATGGTTCCGTTGTTGTCTTGATCAACATCAGAAACTATTTTCGGATCATGGAATTATTCGATAGGTAAAATAAACGGTTGGAAAATTCGAAACATGGTAAATTAATAGTAATAATAATAATTAATAACAACTCTAGGATTAGAATAAAACATACACATGAGTTGTAATTCTTCAGCTGATGGACATTGACCTAATTTCTTCAAAACAGCTCCCAATTCTATTAGAAACATTTCGAATAAACAAAAAAATCATAAAATAAGTACCTTCAATAGAAATCTTTCCATCACCATCTTGGTCAAAAAGACTAAAAGCGTCCTTCAATTCGTTAACAAGTTGATCTTGTGGTTTAGAGTTTGACATTTTTTTTGTGTGAGTTTTGACAATCAAAGAACGGTAACTGCCAAGTTTAATCCTTTGAAAGAATATTGCGCATATAGCATAGAGGTAGAAATGGTATGCAAAATAGTGAATGTTGATGGATACTAAGAAAGTAACATGACAGTGGTTACTAATTTTGATTTGATGAGTTGATCTATTCGAAGTTGGAATGTTTAATTTATCAGTGAAGGAGCAATAATGAAGAATCATGAAGTACAATGTGAAATATTAAAAGTTAATCATGCAAGATTACAAAAATGAACCAATTCAAAATGTTCACACTCAAGCATCGTGTGGTTATAGCCATGGTTACATTCATGGTCACTATCACATTGTGTATGTTCCAGTTAGTTGATCATCAACCTGGGTCAAGGTAGTCAAAGTTGGATTGCTGAGCTAATTTTCTACCTTTGATTCAAGTATGAAATTCAAAATATAATTCAGAAAATCCAAATATTATCTGCTAATTTTCTATTTTAATTCCAATTTAAATTAATCTAAATAATTTGTTCAATTTTTTGAGAAATCCACTTCTTTTTCTTATTATTATAATATGAATGCCAATCTAAAAGAAAGAATACACAATAAGTTATTCATCTGGTTGAGGTTTTGATAAATCCAAGCCTGGACATACTATCTGATCCCTTCTCACAATATTCTCTCGTAACATATATTGTACCACATTCATTCTTTGATCTCCCTGGAGAGTAATGATTTTTCCCCTCTCTTCATCATCAACAACTATTGCACTGCATTCAAATAGTGATGAGAGGGTTTTAGTTAAGGTTTTGAGTGGAATGTTTTGTGATAATCCCTCAATGGTGGTAATTTTCTTATTGTTGGACCGGGAAAAGATTCGGACGTGTATTTTGGAAATTTCTGGTTCTTCTTCTTGGAAGGGATCGTTCGATAGGAAATCAGTGTTGCATGGTTTTGACATTTTTTTTAAATTGCAAAATTGAATAGAAATCAACTGCAAAATTGAATTTTTTGGTGCCTTATTATTCAAAAATAAAATATAAATTTAAAAAATTGTCATCATGGTTACATGTATTCGGATGGATTGTTATTCTTCTCGTCTTAACTTTTGGTGTTGAAGGAGTGGAGCATATGAGAGTTTGAAAATGTTGTAATACGATGGATAGATTTTTTAAAATAATAATTGAATCAAGTGTTGTTATGTATTAACATAGATTGTTAATAAGTGCTTATAGATTAATTTAAGAAATGTCATCCTTATTTAGAATAATACAACAATTCAACACGATATGAGTCAATAATGGCGTCTGTGTTTGTACTGGAAGTGGCGTTTCTTGACACAGTTCTTCGTATTGCTATTGAGTAACCAAGTAAAAAATGTCTAGTTTATGGCCTTCATTGGTGTTGCTGGTTATGTGTTTGATTTCTCTCGTTAGTGTTACTACTTTACATGCACAAGTGAACACAAAACCAGTTGACTACTCAATTACCACAATTATTGGTACTTCTGGAGATGGAGCAAAGGCACTCAATGTTGGTATTTATGATGGAAGAGGATTGGTTGCAGATAATAGAAATGGTAACATTTACTATGCAGATGGATTGAATTCTCAAGTAAGATATTTTGACACTAATGGAATATCACATCTCTTTGCTGGTTCTCCTGCCTATCAATATGGATCTCCTTCTGATAGTTTAGGTTTTGCCAATGATTCACTGAGTCTTCCATATGGAGCCGCTTTAAATTCAAAGGGAGATGTTTTCATTGTAGATAGTAGTCAAAATAGAGTGAAGAAGGTATTTTACAATTCAACTATCAATGCATTCAACATGATTACTGTTGCTGGCGGTGGTTCATCATTGGCAAGTGGCATTCCTGCTCTCTCAGCAACATTTACTGCCCCAAGATGTATTGCTGTTTCACCTGATGATGAAGTTTATGTTTGTGATGCTTTTAATTACTTGATCAAAAAGATTGTAAACGATACTATTTACAATGTGATTGGAACTGGCATCAAAGGAAATAGCGTTGATGGAACTCTTGCAAATAATACAAAGATTAGCAGTCCTAGTAGCATTGCTTTCCATCCAATAACTAAAGAACTATTCTATTCTGACCTACTCGCCAATGTCATTCGCTACATTGCTAGAAATGGATCAGTATATACATACGCTTCAATAACTAGTCCTAGGACAATTGTTTTCAATTCAAATGGCGACATGTATGTCAGTATTTCAACAGCCAATCAGATCATCAAAGTTGTGAACGGTATAGCAACTGTGATTGCTAATAGTTTGTCTACAAACGGATTCAGTGGTGATGGTGGTAATGCTATAAGCGCTTCATTGAGTTTTCCATTTGGCTTAGCTATTTATAATAACAGTTTATATATTTCAGATTCTTCGAACTATAGAATTAGAAAAATAGATTTGACCTCTAACATTATTAGCACTGTTGCTGGTGATGGTTCTAAACAATATTCTGCCAGGTATCCTGGTTATATCTTAGACGTTCCACTCGCCAGTCCACTATCAACATTTTACAATTCACAAACAGATGAATTATTAATGGTAGATAATAACAGAGTATTGAGACTCAATTCTTTAACAAACTACAAAAATTCTCTAATTGAAAGTATTGCTGGAAATGGGGTGTTAGCTGTAGATGTTGATGGTAAATTGGGAAATCAAACTTCTCTCAATTCTGCATGTTCAGTCTTCCAGTCTGAAGCAACAGGAGATATTTATATTGGCACAGTAGGATCAGTACTAAAACTATCTAAGAGCAATCAATTGGTTTCAACCATTGCTGGAACAATTTCAAAATACACAGGAGATGGTTCCTCTGCAATTCAAGCCCAATTAAATGGACCCACTGGTGTTGCCATATCACCAAATGGAGAAGTTTACATATCTGATTCAAGTAATGATGTTATTAGAAAGATTGATACAAATGGTGCTATCTCAACTGTTGTTGGATCTAGCTCAGGATTCTTGGATGCATCAGCTCGTAGAGCACAACTTGCAAATCCTATGGGTATTGCTTTTCTGCCTAATGGTGACTTGATTATTTCTGATGCTAAGAATAATAGAATTAGAAAATTCAGTATCAGCTCAGGAAATGTTACAACAATTGCTGGAACTGGTTTAACCACGTACAATGGGGAAGGCCTTGTTGGAGTTGCAACAAATATCAATTACCCTACTGGTATTTGTGTTAACAGTAGTAATTCAGAAATTTTCTTTGCAGGTTTGTTTTACTATTCGATTATTTTAACACTTTTTCACAGATACCTTCAATTACAGAATTAGAAAAATAGATTCGACAGGAACTATAAGAACAGTAGTAGGAACAGGTTCCTCATCATACACTGCAGATGGACAAAATGGAACATCAACTTCTGTTTCAGCTGTTGGCTTACAGATACATCCAATTACAAGAGAATTGTATTATAGTGATGGAGCTTTTATTAGAAGAGTTGATTCTAAAGATGGCAAAATCTATACAGTCATTGGTGGTGGAAATACTTATTCAGCACTCAGTTTAGCCAACTCTACATACTTGGGTATTGTTCGTAATTTTACATTCTCCCCAAATGGAGATATTTATGTGAGCTGTCCTTCTTTTAACGTTATCAAAAAGATGGACTATGGCTCCAACATTGTGTATAATGTGGTTGGAACTGGTAGTACGGTTCTAACTGGAGATGGACCTGCCTTATCAACTTATTTGTCAAATCCTGGTGGATTGGCTGTAAACACTAATGGTGAATTGATTTTTGCAGCATCTTCAGGATTATCAAATTATGATGGAATTAAAAAACTTTCTGGTGGAATGGTAGCAACAATAGCAGGTGGAATTGGAGATGGTGGACTTGCAATCAGAGCAAACATTGGAAAGGTTTCAGCAATATCAGTTACTGACACTGATATTTATCTTTCAGATCAAGGCAATAACAGAATTAGGAAGATTTCATTATCGACTGGTATCATTTCTTCAGTTGTTGGTGCTTTTTACAGTACTGATAATGGTGATAATTTGGCTAATCAAACCAACATTAATTTAGTCAATGATGTGAGAATTAGTACTGGTGAAATAGTATTCACTGATTCTGGACATAATAAGATCAGAAAGACAGATCTGTCCGGAAGAGGTAAAGTGATTACAATTGCAGGAAATGGAAGCAGTCAAGCAATAGTTTCAGAAAACGTATTGGCAAGTGAAGCGTATTTGAATAATCCTGGATCAATTGGTTATTTATCAACTGGTGAACTGATTATTACCGATACTGGAAATAATGTTATTAGAAAGGTTGGTTTGAATGGAAATATTTCATTGATTGCAGGTCAATATTTCCAAAGTGGATTCAATGGAGATTCATCAAATGCCAAGAGTTCATTGTTGAGCAATCCAAAGGGTCTTTCAATTTTGAACGATGGAAGAATTGTATTTGTTGATAGTGGCAATTTCAGAGTTCGAATGCTCACACCATATTGTCCACAAGGATACTACTTGACCCAAAACTCCAATGGTCTTGTTTGTAACTTTCTAACCTGTTTTGGAATTGCAAGCAATGATTCGAAAGTTTGCTCAGGAAATGGCGTTTGCCAATCGTTAGACTCGTGTTTATGTTCAAATGGATATAGTGGTGTCAATTGTAACCTTGCACCTTGTTTTGGAATTGCCTCTAATATTCCACAAGTATGTTCTGGAAGGGGAGTTTGTCAATCATTGAATAATTGTTCATGTTCAATGGGTTACTATGGTGTGAATTGCGAATTAAAAGCAGATAACCCTACGATTAATGTGACAACATGCTATGGAATTGATTTCAATAATTCAAACGTTTGTTCAGGAAGAGGAATTTGCCAATCATTGAATAATTGTTCGTGTTTCACAGGATATTCGGGTTTGAATTGTTCTGGCGTGGTTTCAGATAACTCCAATACGTCTCCAAATTCATCAAATTTGACAACTTGTTTTGGCATTGCATTCAATGATTCTACTGTTTGTTCAGGAAGGGGAATTTGCCAATTATTGAATAACTGTTCGTGTTTTTCTGGTTATTCAGGATTAAATTGCTCCAAAGATAGTACAAAGAATGATGATAATTCAAATGCAGATTACTGCACTCTGTATCCAAACTCGTATGTTTGCTCTCCTCTCTCATCCTTTAACACAACCGAAACTCAGATTACCAAAGTTTCAAATATTACTCAATTAGATTCAAAGACCATCCAATTTGCCTCAACTTCAACAATTTCCATTTCTTTGCCATCAATCATTTCACAATATCTTCAAAATACTGACACATCACTCAAGAATGATTCAGTTCAAGTTGTCTCCTCAATTGCCGAAAGTAAGAATTCAAATAGTGATGCAGCTGTCATTTCATCCATTGTTTCTTTGGTTTTATTGAAATCAAGTTCAAGTGAAAAGATTACAGTTCAAAATCTTGAACAACCAATTTCACTATCGTTTGAGAATGTTACTCTAACAGTTTCAAGTATTGATACTTTGAATATTTCATGTGTTTATTATGAGGAGAATTCTAAAGAATGGAAATCAGACGGAATGGAAACTGAGATTAAAAATTTAGAAATTCACAACCTTGCAGATGGAAATATCACATTAACACTCTCCATCCTATGTAACACCAATCACTTGACTTCATTTTCTGTAATTGACCAAAATTACAAGAAGGCAGCCACCAAACCAACACCTCAACCTGCTCAATCAAATCAACCAACCAAGGATGCTGAAATACTTCAAGATAATACTGTTTTAATTGGAGCTATTGTAGGCGCAGTTGGAGGAGTATGTGTAATTGCAGTTGTCATCTCAATAATTATTATTGTTGTTTGTTTATTAAGAAAGAGGAAGAAAGAGGAAATAAATTAAAACGAATATTTTCATCTAACAGACTCCACAACAACTCATCCCTTAAAAATTCCTGCAAAAAAATACCTTTCTCTCCCACCAAAAAAAATGCAAATCTACAACTGCACAACTTCTCATACTGATGATTCACTATTATTACAAATGCACGATGATCAAGATCGGCCTAATACTGTGCTAATGTTATGTGATATACAACCTCATGATAGAGAACATTTACTTCATAAAGAATTAACCCTCAAATTTAAACAAGCCTCCGATCGTGTTATTTTGATTACTAATTCTGTGGAAAGATTTAAAAAACATAGAAAGATTGATGAGAGATTGGTTAGGGACTTGGAATTTGCTTTTAGAGTGGTACAAATTGAAGGAACAGCACTAAGAAAATTGAGAAATCAAAATAGAAGAGTGGCACTAGCAGCTGTTCAGCAAAATGGAAATGCCTATTCCTATATTAAAGGTCCTTTTCAGAGGGATTTGGAATGTGTGATGAGTGCTGCTTTAACATGTGGTAATAATATTGCCATGAGAATATTGAATCAGGATACATTATCAGATGAAGAAAGAATGGGAGTGATGAAACGATTATTAGATAATAGTAGAGTGAATGTAGTTAGGCTATTTCGATGCATGCCCTCTAGTTGCTTTACAAGCTTGAATTTTTGCATAGAATTGCTTCCTAAAGTTAAGAATCATTTGTATGATGTAATGTTTGCTTCATTTTGCAGTGATAGAGACGCCTTATTACAACTATTAAGAAATTGTCAGACATTTGATCATGGATTTCCAAATTTTGTGGGTAAAGGGTTATGGGATAAAGAATTGGTTTTAGAGATGGTATCTAGGGACGGTATTTCAATTGAACATATACCACGTAACTTACAAGCTGACAGGGATATTATTCTGACAGCTGTGAAAAACGACGGAAGAGCATTGATGTTTGCACATCCTCCACATAATTCTGACTTTGAAATCGTTACAGAAGCTGTCAAGAGTAATGCAAGAGGGTTTTTTTATGTTGATAATGAATTAAAGTCATCCAAGAAGTTTATTGATATGTGTATGAGAGAAAATCAAGAAGGATTTAGTTATTTGAGACAATACGATCATGAGGTAGAGAGCGGTTTAAGAAAGTTTGGTTACTAATTGCCCACAGTATGAGGTTGGAGGAATGTTTCTGACATTTATTTTGTTTTATGGATTCATTTCTACTAGTGATTAAAAACTGAATTTTTCAATTACTTCCACATGAGATGTACACTATCCAATTTCCATTTTTTAAATCAAGCAAAACGTTCATCCATATTAAGGCTGCTGATAAAACCTTTATGGTTTTCATACAGAGATCGTATCGCGTGAAGGAAACGATGTTGTAAGTAGAAAATTCAAGACGAATGGTTAAGATTAATTTCCAAAAACGAAAGAAAATGTTCCCAAACAAAAGAAAAATCAACTGTTGTCAAGAATCATGAAACAATTCATTTACATCAACTAGTGTAGAATATTTCATTTATTTGGCCGATTAACTCTCCTTTTAGAATGCGTACTATTTCCATTCTGAGTTTTAAAAGTCAAGACATTTCATGTTTTTTAAAGCAACCTAAACTCTTCGAAAAAAGCGATCTGTAGTAATGAACTAGACATAATTCAGAGATTGGTTGCAGTTTCGAATACTCTGGTCCAATAAACAAACATCAAAAAAACAATGAGACAGCAAACAGAGAACTCCAAGAAAAAGTACAGCAAATTTTCAATTATTGAGTTTGCTTCATCAACTAGCTCGCTAAAGAAGGAGAATCATAAAGTTTCGAATACAAATTCATCCACATTAGAACACTTGCCAAAGAAGAGAGGAAGACCAACAAAGAATACAACCACCAAATCGAACAAAACATGCATGTTCATAAAATCAACTGAAACAATACATGCGTATCATCTTCCAAGATACCATCCATACATGCGTGTAAATACGAAACTGAACCAAACTAATTCTTCACTTGTTAATAATGTAAATTGTAAAGATTCATCCTCTTGCTCTTCAAGATCATCCTCACCACCTACAACACATTTAAATTCTCATACAACAAACACTAATTGTAACTCTGTAATTTATAAGCAAAGAATTGTAAGAACTTCAATCTCCATCAGAGAATTGTTAAATTAAGGATTTTCCATAAGAAATAAACTAATCATTAAGATCTACTGAATTTTACCACCACATAGTATCTCTGTTGAAGTAAATCTCGTGAAGTCTATTGAGATTTCGTTTAGTTTCGTTTGATAACAAATGAAAAGATCTCTAAAAAACTACAAATGTTATTTCTGTCATTAGAGAGTATTTCAAATTTGAGATATTTAAGCTCTCGGGAGATTGAAATTTGTTTTTTGAAAATATACACCCTAACATAGTTAGTTCACCTATCGGTTTTGGAATTAACCTTAAACCAGACGAATCATAGAAAGATTGTTGAGATTGGTATGATTTGGTGCCCTGTTGGACTTCCAAGAGATGTCATCCTTACATCTAAAGCATCAGAGAAAATTGAATCTTATGGAAGAAACCAAACTAAACAAACAACAAATTAACAAGTCCTCCTTTGTAAATACTCAATATTATCACTTGACAACAACGCATGTTGATAATACTAAACTTGTTGACACCTGTGTTATTCCTTTGTAATACAACCGAAAACTAAAACAAACGAAACATTACAGGACTTGAACCTGAAAGAGAATTATTGAACTAATAAACACTTGTGCACTAAACAGGCAACGTAGCAGTACCTTTTACTTTCCATTTCCAATCTAGCGTACCATTTCCTTTTTAATTATTATAGATTTCTGACATTATTAAAATTCAAAAGTGGATCTTCTCTCCCAAGATTTAATTTCACGTCATCTCAACAATTTTATTCTTGGTAATGGTAATGTCTATAAATTTGAGATCAAAACCTGTCATCTGTTTCGAATAAAATTAACAACTTTCATTATAAAATAGAGATTATGCGCTTATTTTAAAGTCTCGAAAAGAAGAAACTGGATGTATAAAACAAGCAACAATAGTAACAAAGGCTCAATGAACCAGAGATTGTGAAGGTTTCGTATATTTAATCGAGTCAGTCTTCACGCATTTCAACAAACAAACATCAAAAAAAACATCATAGAAATATCAGAAAATGTACAGCAAATTTTCCATTGTTGAGTTTACATCCCAAACTTTGTTAACGAAGCAGAAAGAGGAAATGAACAAAGTTTCGAATATGAATTCATCTACTTTAGAACACATGCCAAAGAAGAGAGGAAGACCAGCAAAGAATACAACAACCAACAACAAGTCGAACAATACATGTATGTTCATAAAATCGACAGAAAGCTTTCAAGCATTGAGCTTTCCTTCAAGATATCATCCCTACATACATGTAAATACGAAACTGAGTCAAACCACCACATCCTCACCTCTTGTAAATAATGTAAATTGCAAAGATTCATCATCTTCCTCTTCCTCACCGCCTACAACACATGCCAACACACTTACAAATGGTAACTCTGTAAATTTTAAGCAAAGAATTGTTAGAACTTCAATATCTATCAGAGAATTGTTAAATTAATAAATTTGCAGTTTTTAAAAATTGAGGTGATGAATCTGAGTCTTGAAACAATAGAAATATAATATAAAAAATGAGTTTGAATCAATTTTATATAAATTTATATCATATTCTATTATTTTACAATAGATTAAGATTTAAATGTTGTTATTAAGGTTGAAAACATACATCGACTTGACAGCTTTTTACTATTCAAAATTTCAACAATTTACTTGAAAAGCTAATTTTGCAATTCAAAAAAAAATGCAACAAGATGAAGAGAGAAATTTCTTTTCCTTGCTGAGCAATAATTCGGAAGAAGAATGGATGAATCATCCTCTCCTATTAATTTTCCTCATGATGAGTTTAATATTCGCCTTGTTCATATTTAATTACAAGAAGAAGAAAACAATGAATAACACCATGATACAACAAATTGAAACTCTTGATTATTCATCAGTTGAAGAACAAATCAATGATGAAGATGATGAAGAATTAATCAATGATGAAGACGATGAAGTAGAACAAGAACTTTCGAAAGATGAAGAATTACTTGCAAAAGTATCATCAACACAATTTGCAAAGGAAGAAGACACTTTAAATTATTCCATTTCGGAATCATCATCAGATGAAGAAATTGCACAAGAAGAACAACCGACAATAACAGAATTCAAGCAGGAATCAACCACAAGAAGAACCTCAAGGAATAGTACTAATACTGATGAAGAAGCTCATGCAATTTCCTCTTCAACAACAACAAACATTGAAGCAGCAATTAATCATAATAGATTGTTATTGCAACAATTGCAAAATTCATCCTCATCCTCTCATCAACACGTTTCAGCAACCTCATCTCCTCAGAAACAACAGCAGGGACATTTGCTTTCCACTCATTCCTTCCTTATGGTATGCTCAAAATGCAATAATCTCTTTGCTACCTTTATTCCACCAAAACAGGATTCAACATTGAAGGAGCCAGTCTTTCCTGAACGATTTAAAACACATCCATTCACATTTGGAGTTCTTTTAGGAGATAATAAGAGAAGAAATGTTGCATTTACACCTAGGTTTTCTGAGGAAGATGGAGAACAATTGTTTATTCCAACATTGTGTCAACCTGATTCGAAATATTTGGAAGAGGAATTTGATTGTAGGAAAATTCAAGAATCAGACCTTGCAGAAATGAAAGATAAATGTAAAATGGCTAGGGATATGGGAAAACTATTGAGATTATTTTGTAAGAAGTGTGGAACTAAGGTTGGCTCAATTTTAAAAGAACCACTCCAATTGTCAGTTACTGAAGATATCAAATTACCTTTTAATACTTTTATGGATCAAGAGGATTGTTCCATAGTCGAGAAATGTCACTGCAACCATTCAGACTCAGTCGATATGAATACGTATATTAACAGTGAAAATATTGTCAATGTTTCAGATTCTTCAACATTTAGAAAAGTTTCTTTGGGTGAATGGAAGTATAGCTCATTAGCTAGTATGCTTTTTGATATGCCAGACGTTCCACCAAAGAATTCATCAACTCACCATAACCGAAATAGGAATTACCACAATAATAATAGCAATAACAATGGAAGAGGAAGGTTCCCACAAAGAAAGTTCAATAATAATCAACCACACAGAAGAAACAATCAAAGACCAAAATCATCCAATCCACAGCAACAACAACAACAGAAACAGCAATCCTCTCAGAAAGTTCAATCACCACCACAACGAACACAAGAATCAACAACAACAAACAAAGAAGGTGGTGGCAAATCAAAGAAGAAGCGATCCCAAAAGAGAAAGAAAAAGAACAACTCCAATGAACCAGAAAATAAGAAGATTAAAGTTGAAGCATCAACCACTACCACTCCTTCAAATTCTCAAAATTAAAGATTTCACATATTTGTGGAATAATTTTTCACTTTTAATTACAAAAAAAAATGTTTTCAAATCTACCACCAGAGATTTTGTACCAAATATTCGCGTACTATGTCAATCCGTATAATTTGATTGACAATTTGATGGTCTGGCGACAATTAAACATGTCAACCTATTCGATGCTCGAGACGAGTTCTACCTTGTCACTATTATTGAACATGTCTATTCGTGATCCATTGGTATTGCAGGCTCCGAGCAGAACTAAATATTATGAACCGTATGGTTTTGTTTTGGATGCTGATAATTTAGATGATGATGATGATGATGAGGATGAAAAACTTGCATTGAAGAATGGTAATACGGAAGGAGTTGAAAATAATGCTCGTAAAGAAGAAGAAGAAAATAATGAAGATGATGATGATGAGGAAGATGAAGAAGGAGAACAGAAATTATTTTACAATAGTCATTGTTTTATTGATCAATTGCTTTTACGTTCTTTACAAAATCAATTTATTGGAAGAATGGGAAATAGAGATAAACATCATGAATGGAAGTACAAGACAAGGAATGGAGAGTTGTGTGATCCAAGTGAATATGATTGTTTCAAAGATGGCCCACAATTTCATGATAAGTTTGAGGAATGGATTGATGCCTACTCTGAGAAGAAGAGTTGGATTTTGCAATTATTGTTGGAAATTAGTCTTGGAAGGGAAATGATTGAGTATTTGGGGATGAGGAATGTTGGATTTTGCATTGTGCAATATTTTCACAAATTGTTCGAACCTGCCATTCGAACTGTTGAAAATTGGAAGGAAAATCCAAAGTCAATTTTGGAATTTTCTGATATTTTCAATAGCAATTTATATGAATTGTTAGAGATGGCCATGAAGAAGGAAACAATTCTCAAGGATAACATGTCAGATTTCTGGTTTCAAATGGAAACAATTTCAAATTCAATTCCTAGACAAGTTATTTTGTTTATTGCTGAAAACTTTTCACATCTGAATATTCGCTTAGGCGAGGGAGAGGAAATGACATGCTCTGTGTTTATATTCCAAGAACTGAGAAAGTTTGGTATTTGTGTGGAGAAGCTCCAATTCTTGGATAAACGATCTAAATTTGGAAACTTTGAAAGAACTAGCTTTCTCAACTCGGTCATACCAGAAATTTCCGATGGGTTTTACTTGCAACACTTTGCTGTATGGATTAAGAGCATTCCTCTATTAGAATGGTGTTTGGATGTAGATTCAACCCAAATGAATCAAACATTGGCCGAATGTTTACAAAAACCAAACCAATCAATTCTAAATGTGAAAATGAATTCCTATGCCAAAACCTATCTTGTTGACAAGCTACCATTTACTATTCTACACTATGCTGTATCGATGTGCAATGTTGAAATGGTTGAATTGTTGACCAACAAATATTTGGCAAATCCAGTGTTTGAAACTACATATCATGCAGTGAGTCCTCTCTCTTTAGCTATAAGAAATAGTAAGAATGTTGGAAAGGGAAGAAACAATGAAGAGGATGAAATTATGAAAATATTTTCCAAGCATTATCAAAGTGAAATTGAAAAACAAGGCACCAGTTCATCTGTGGGAAGTGAATCCAAAACTTTCGAAACTGATGGAAGAACGTATGAGGAAGATAATAGTGACCTAGATGAAGAATACTATTCAGATTATTCTTATGATATTCCTCCCCATCAAAATGTTGTTGTGGAACAATGGAATACTAAAATTTACGATACTCTTGGAGTCACTGACTTTAGTGACGATGAGTACGAGGAGGGATTAGATTTCAAGCAATTAGGCCACATTTTTAAAAACTTGGAAAATGAAGCAAATAATCCCCTCAAAAGAAAGAGATTTGATCCATTGGCATTCGAAGATTATTCACAAAATTTCATTGAAAATAGATTGAAAAATACGATTGCACCTTTTGAATCCAATACATGGGATTACGACCTCAAGCAGGAGTTTGAAGGAGAGTTGACAGAAAATATTCCAGCCATTAAAATTCTGCAAGAGAAGGTGTAAAAAGAGAAAATGA